CCTACAAGCCTAAACCCTCAACCCCCAAAGCCCCCAAAACCCTGAAGGCTCCTCCGCAAGCACCGAGGCCACGAGTGCCAAGAAAGTCTTCCACATGGCGCCTTCCGGTTCGGTTTAGGGTTTAGGGTTTAGGTTTTAAGGCTTCGGGTTCAGGGTTTAGGGCTAAGGAAACCCTAAACCTAAACCCTAACCCCTAAACTCTAAACCCTAAACCCTAAACCCCGAAACGGGTTTCGGGTTTCGGCTTCGGCGCCTTCCGGTTCGGTCTCGCCTTCCGCTTGCAGGTCGCTTTCTGCTGCAAGCTGGAGCCGGGGAACCGCAAGCAAAAGGGTCTTAGAGGGTTTTATAGGGGTCTTATAGGGTTTTATAGGGATTTATAAGGCTTTATTGGGCTTATAGGGCTTATATAGGGTTTATAGGGCTCTTGGGGTGTTTAGGGTTTACAGGTTTTAGGGCTGAAACGGTTTATAGGGCTTAGGGCCTGTAGGCTTCATAGGTCTCTTCGGGCGTTTAGGCTTTTTTGGGGCTCTTGGGGTTGATAGGGCTCACAAGTTTTTCACGGTCTGGGGGTATGGCAATGGGATTTGGGGTGTACTATGAGTATGCAAGGACAAAAAGGGTGCCGCAACTAATTATTCAAGACATCTGAAGGGCTTCTGGCCTTTCACTTAAGGGCTGTGGTGTAAGGGCTTCGGAGCTTTAGGATTTTGGGTAGGCTATTTTTTTCAGGCCGTGGGTTTCAGACTCTTTTGGTTTAGGGGCACAAGACAATCACCATCGACATCCGTCACAGTGGCACAATGGGACCCCGGATCGGCATTCTAAGCCGGTGAACAAAGACAACATGCACGGGCGTAGGTGTGAGGGTTTAGGGTTTAGGGTCTCGGGCGTCAAACATGAAACCGGTCTGTCACTCATTGTATCTACACACACACACACACATTGCAGCAACGACCTCGTGGATTTGGTGGCTCAGAAGAACGCTTCCTTCTGTGCTACTCGAGACGCTTTCCAAGGCCCATAGCAAGGACGAGCTGACAAGCCTAAGTGAATTGGATCTGCACCGGCTGTGTGTTGGATAAGCAAAGATTGACTCGCACATGTCTCCGATGATTCCTTGCATTGCCTGAACCCGACACCCTGTTCTCCTCAATCCCCTAAACCCTAGATCCTTCAGGCCTTCAGGTCAAAAGTTGAAACCTAGACCCTAGACCCCCAAGCCTAAACCTTGGGTTTGGGGCTTTCTTTCGAGTTGCAGATTTGCGGTGCTGCCGGGTACCAGTCCGGATCCCGGACGCTCGTGGGGGGCGTTTGTCGGTGTAGAGGTTCTTGCTGGATGGGTTTATCATGTTCTTGTACTTTGTAGGTTGCTATGTTACATTCGAGTTTGTAGGGTTATTTAGCGTTACTCAAAGGTTGCAGTGGGCTGCGGGGGATGATTAAGGGGCGATGGCTTTCTTGTATTTCTTGTTCCTTCGCTGGCAAAGGCCATCCTTCAAAGCACCATTTCCAAGAACGGCATAGGAACAGTTGAGGCCGGCATAGGACTTAGGGACATACCCTAAAATTCTAAAAAGCCCGAAGCATCTGACCTTTTCCGGCCGCTGCAAAGTGTATGCGACAAGCATCTGCGATGCTTGTCGAGGGTGCTTCCCGGAGAAGCTAAACAGCCCCTTAACTAAGCAATGCTCCTTCAACAAGATTCAGCAGGGTTTAGGCTTTAGGGCTTAAGGCCTGATTAATTGCTGTCGGGTTCTAGGAGTAAGGAATTAAGGAATGCTTCAAAAGCTTTAGTAGCAACCCTCCACCCTAAACCGGGGGCTTGCCCCCGGAAAAAAAAGAAACAAAGCAGCGCTTCGCGCCTTTTGGCGCCCTCTGTTGGCCCTGACGGGGATGGAACACACCGGGCAGGATCTCCAAACCCCAAACGCCCAAAGCCTCCGTCCAAAAGCCCTCGCTAAACTCTAAAGCCGAAGATCGTCCAAACCCACAGAAAGCCTTTAAGACAGTAAAGAAAAACCCTTAAACCCCGAAACCTTCAAAATCTTCAGAAGGCTACGCCCAAACGCCCTTGACGGGGTCGAGGTTTCCCCCCGAGCCTCGGAAAGGCTTTCATCAACGAAGCAATGAAAGTGTGGTTGGGGTGTAGGGTTTAGGGTAGCTTCAAAAGGCTCCCTAGACTCTGCAGCGAGCTCCTGAACTCTAAACCCTGAACCCTACCTAACCCCTAAACCCTAAACCCTAAACCCTACATCCTGAACCCTACATCCTGAACCCCAGCGATCCATGGTTAAGAGCTGTTGGAGTCTCCGGGTCCCTTGACTTGAATAAGGCGCGGACAGGTGTGCACCGGATTTCTGTGAGCTTGGTTTAGGGCGTTGGGGGCAATCTTGTCGGACCAGGTCCAGCCTGCTTTCCGGGCAGTTTGGGCTCAAGAGGTTCTGCTTTCGGAGAGGCTCAAAGTATCCTGGCGTCCGGAGGTCGTGACTTTGTCAAGGTCTCCGAGCCAGTGCCGGCAAAGGGGGCCCTAGTCAGATCCGGGGCCCCCCCTGCCACCTACAAGTACTGCGAGAAGAACTAAGGTTTAAGCTTGGGGTTTGATCTGGCGAGCTCAATGCTGGGAACAAAAGATACAAAATGCAAAATGACAGTGATAATGCTGACGAAATTGAGATACACTACGGCTTCATGCTATCCGGTCTTCAGCACTGTAAAGCCTGAAGCGCGGCCTGTTTGAACCTTGGGCGCTCTTGAAAAAGGATCCTTTCGTCTCAGGGATGTCACGACAGGCAGATCGGTGCGCCGACAGAACCTGCGTGCGGCTTGTGCCACGCATGCCTGGCCCTAAACCCCTACACCCCTCAACCCTAACCCCTAAACCCTAACCCCGAACCCCTAAAACCCTAAACCCCTAAACCCTAAACCCCTAAACCCTAAACCCGAACACTAAACCGAAACAAAAGCAATTCAGAAGGCTCCAAGCGGGGTGGAAGACCCCACAGTTCAGGGGGGTGGGGGGGGTTGGGGCCTTTGAGGCTGAAGATTGAAGGTTTAGGGATCAAGGGCGGGGTTTAGGGGCTTGGGTTGAGGGTTTAGGGGTTTAGGGTTTAGGGTTTGGGGTTGAGGGTTTAGGGTTTGGGGTTTAGGGTTTACGGTTTAGGGTTTCGGGGTTTGGGTTTGTAGAAATCTCCAAGCCTAGCGTTTAACGAATTCGGGTCTCCGACGGCAGTAGACGATCGTCAGGCCAAGGAAGCAGAGGGCTGCCATGCCAAGCCAGACCAAGGCCTACCCAGAGAACCCAATACCCCTTAATTAAGGAATATGCCTTGAATTATAGGGGCCGTAATATTATGATTTAAAGTAAAATCCTTAATTAAGGGGTATTGGGTTCTCCGGGTTCAGGGTTTAGGGTCTAAGGTACGAGGGCTCAGGGTTTAGGGTTCAGGGTTTAGGGTCTACGGTACGAGGGGGTTTGGGGTTTGGGGTCTAACGTACGAGGCGTTTTAGGGTTTAGGATTTAGGGTCTGGGGCTTAAGGTTTAAGGCTGAAGGCTGAGGACCGGTAGTGAGAAAAGGGTGGAAAACTTGTGTTTGCCTTGTTTTTTGCCTTTTCTTTTTTTGGGTCTGGAGACGGACCGCACGTCACAGCCCGAGGACGAACTGTCCGGGATTGGGCTCGGGATGTACTTGTTGTGTTAAACCATATGTAAACCCTACATGAAGTAGGGTGTAGAGTATTGGCCTTCAGGCTTCGGGCATGGGGCGGGGTAGCTTGTCCGGATGCGTCAGGCGCCGCTGGCCATCAGCATTGTCCTTGTCTTTGTTCTCTTCTGTCTCATCGAGATCGCCACCGTAATCACAAGCACCATCAACATCATCATGTTGGCATCATATGGTACTGGTTGGCGTTGGCATGAGTCATGTGCAACATCCACAAACATCCGTGCTGCTGAACCTACGTATTACAGGAGGGACTGGGCTGGAAGTTTTACGAAATTGTGTCAGCTGTACGCCACACCAGCAAACAGACCAGTAATGGACGAGCCTCGCAAAGAAAAGTCCAGCTTCCTAAACCCGTCTTATGCAGGTCTTCTCAGTGTCGGGTCACAGTTTAGGAGGTACAATTTCGAAGGTCTTAACAATGCCGGGTCATCGTTTAACGATTATAATATGATGTGTTATATTTGTTATATCATATCAATGTTGTCATGTTCTATCATGATATATTGAAATGCATACCCTGTGAGACAACATGCCTTAGTGCATGACAGTTTACTACATGAACTAACACTACATGATATTGGGTTGTGTTCTCTTATATTATGTTTTTTTCTGATATTGCATGGTTTTGTACACGTACGAATTTTGAATCATTCTTCAGTATTGTAGTACGGCGTTATACTATGAGGGAGAAGTACCAGACAGTGTCAAGGCAATCTAGCATAAGATGATACAGCCAAATATACTATTATATATATATATCAGTGTTATGATATGAAACTTTTTATGAAAATACTCTAAAGAATATTTCTTCAAACAATAATGTAACACAATACAACATAATATAGTTATCCTATAGTCTATATATACATATTTTTTGTGTATATATGTATACGCTATATGATAATCATCTAATATAACACTGTACTATAACATCGTATTACGAAACAGAATAGAATACAACATGATATGGTGTATATAATATGCGGAAAGGCTTTATTGTATAATATACTATTCTGTACCATGGCAGAATAGAAACAAATACTTAATGTAAAATGATAAGCGTAAGTCAGATGGAAAGCGTCGGGACAAACAGAAAAGCGGGACAAGTGTTCCCCAGGCACTGTCCAAACTCCCGCATAGATGAGGAGGTTGCTCGCGGCACTGACGACCACAGCAAAGAAAATCATCACGAAGACGATTGCCAGTGACTGCCTCAGCTCCGAGCCCCGGAAGCTTCACGCAACACATCCCTCTCTGTCCTGGGAGAGTGAGGCCCCCTTACTCTGTGCAGGCAGGCATCAGGAACTCTGCAAGACACGAGGAGCCGACAGGGGCAGCAAAGCGATCGCAGAGGTAGAGCATGAGCACTAGGCCGGCTGGAAGAAAGAAGCAGTTGTTCCCCAGAAGCATCCCAGCAGTCCAGGCTACCAAGCATTCCACCGGAGCGCCCCCCTTCCAGAGTGCGAGCAGGGTCTCCATACCTTGACAAAGGGCACTCCAAAAAGGGGCATGCCTGAGCATGCTTAAGCTGCCTGCCCTAAACATCCAAGAAGCTAAGGCTGAACGTCGGAGTGATTGTCAGGAAGATATATGGCCAGGGCAGGTTTGTGGCCAGGATCGGGGCGACGAGCTCCCGGCGAAGAGGACCTTGCACGAAGCGTGTGAAAGCCTGCACACTGCCATACCACTCTGAGATCGCGGAATGAATGAAGTCTCCTTGGTGCAGTCCGCATAGAGCCCAACAGACGCGATGTACAACTTAATGTGCAATCCTAGAAAAAAATCCAAGTACTTCACTGGGTCACTCGCAGGCCAAGAAAGCAGATGTATTAAAGTATGCGTGCCTTAAGGCCAAGAGGCGGTCAGACTCGCTGTAGCAGCTCACACGGTCTAGATCGAACTGTTCCATGTCCACGAGCAGTTTTCGCTTGGCCAAGTAGTTCTTCCTCAACACGTAGACGGAGGGCGGGAAGGGTAAGAGCACAAGGGCATATGCAGCGATGGTTGCGCCGTTTCGGCCCAATCTCGCAAGGAAGAACAAGATGTTCATCCCGAAGAGCACCACCCAAATGCAGAGCACCGCCATCTCAACGAAGAGCGGCTTGAAAGTGATCTTCCCTTCCGGGCTGGCTTTGCGGAAAGCCGCGAGTTCGAAAATGCACCAAAGCCTGGACCTTAGTCGGCTTTCAGTTCCTTCAGTTCCCTGTTCGAAATGAACCTTAGTCAGAATGATTGAGTGGTTCATTGATTCATTGATTCAATGGCTCAGTGACTCACTGAATCATTGATTCATTGATTCTGTGGTTGCTTGATTGCTGGCTTGCATAGATGGGATTGGATTGATCGATCGATGAATGGATTAATTAAAAAATTCGTTGTGTGATTGGTTGTGTGATTGGTTGTGTGGTTGGCATGTTTGTCGTTTTGGGGCGCTGCTTTAGCCATAACACTCCAGCCTCTGTCCAGTGACTTTCAACCCAGGCTCCGCTGCCGGAAGCTCTACAATGGCTGAGGCCCGCACAGGTAAGGAGGGCTCCACAGGACTCGAAGCTCACGGGTGACTGCCAAGAAACCCCCGATGCCCTGGACGCCACGCTGCCTCGAAGCAAGTTGGGTGCAAGAGCAAGACAGGAAAGCGGGGGAAGCCGCCTATGGGCAAAGCCGCACCATCCAAGCCCAGCTGCATAAGGGCTTGATCCGCTTGATGTATGCATGCCACATCCACAAAGCAAACCGGCGACTTGCAGCAAGGGAGATAGAGGTACGAAACGGAGGCCAGCACGGGCCCGAGGAGGCCAGAGCAGAGGATCCAACAGCCCATGGGGCAAAGCTCCGTGAAGCCAAGCAAGTTCGCCTGAAAAACTGAGGGTCTGCATAATGAATGATAATCATAAGAACTACAACTGGGTCTTATAAGGTTTGAAGTTATAAGCAAGGGCTCTCTATGCGCCTGATAGACAAAGGGCAACGGCAGAACGTCGGTGATGCAAAGCACAAAGGATGTAAAGATGCAAAACAACCACGCAACGAAGATGATGCTGGCGGTGCTCTGGAAGTAAAGCGCTACCGCCTTCCGCCAGCCGGCAGTCCACCAGGTATGGGAAATGAACATGTCCAGGTGCTGCCTAGGTTGACCCTTTAAATCCCATTAGGCTCAAGAGGTGTCAATAACAAGTGCTATAGACTCACATACATATACATACATACATATACTACATATACATATTCATACACATGTACATATACATATTCATATACATATACATATACATGCACATACAAACACGTATGTGTGGAGGTACATATATATATATATACTCGTATGTATGTATGTCTATATATATATATACTTGTATATATATATATATGTATATGTATATATATATACATATAACATACATACATACAGCTATACAAATATGCAGATGTATATGTATGTGTATACATATATATGTATGTTGATACATATGTCTCTATATATATATATGCATACATACAGAAATACAGATATACATGTACACAGAAAGCATATGCATATATTTAATTATAGATATATATACATATATATACATATA